TATCCCTATACTTCCAACCCCCCCAGAAAGCAAGGGGGCTTGTACAAAGACCTAGGATTCCAGGGTATTTGAAAGGACCTCGTTTCCCAAAGTCTGGCAAGAGGACTATAAAATGATGAAACCATCCCTTAAACTCAGAAATATGGCACTCTTTCTTGCGTCATTCGAGCGATCACTGCTTTCTGCAGGCAGCGCTTTCATTCAGATTGAGCCTTCCCAGGGACAGGCGAAATACAATTTGCCTCGCAACAGCTACAGGATCCCAGCCTCAACAGCCTTTGCTTCAGCGACAAGTACCTGCCCAGATTATGACCACAAATTTGGTTTGAAGCAAGGATATATACTCCTGCCTGTAACCCAAAGTTTTCAGAAGGGTTTTCTCAAAGGTCTTGGTCGGCGATCGAGCCGCCAATTCTTAGCCATCATCAGGGAGCTTCAACGGACAAACATAGAACAGCTGTTATAAGGAGCTCACTTTTCAGGTAGCCCATCTGGTCTTCGTCCATGAACCCATGGACAAAACGTTGGTTGATTCCTGAGCTTGGAATGAAGATCCCCCAAACATAACAAGCAACGTTCATGAATTCTGCCACCTGGGCGCTGAATCTTTTGGAACGAAGGACTTGCTCCCAGAAAGCCTCGGGAACGTGTTTAGGGTCTCGTAGTGAACCCTATAAAAAATAATAAAGCCTAAGCTCTATACTAAACAAACGCCAAATGACTAAACCCTACACCCTAGACTGCGTGAAACAAGAACACCACATGGTACTTGCAAACTTGCTTGCGAGCAGCATGCGCTTTGGGTTTCAAATACCATCGACGAACGCGCTTCCTGCACATATTGTATAGCAAGCTAGGCTATAATGAGCAGGCCACAACACACAGCCCAGCTCGCCTCTGGGCAATTCTTGTGAGAGCCACATGCGAACGCAGAAAGCCCTTGCCAGTCTTGTACATCTCAGCCACCTGCAAGTCAGACCTGCGGAACAGGCACCAGAGCAACATGAATCACAACAACAGAGCCACACATTTTGCCAAAGCACAGAAATCGTGGGGATGTCTCCAGGATTGCCAGATGTCTGGATATGCATCGCCTCAGTTATTCAGGAAAGCTGAATTCAGAAAAATTCCAGGTTTGGGTTTGGGACCTATATAGGGTTAAAGATTGCGAGGTTTATATATAGAGGTATTCATCGGCAAATAGGCTCTAGGACAGGGGGTCAAATTCAGACAGCAGGCATCGCGTAAGTAAGGAGCACGAGTTCTTCGTCTGGATTTTCCATAGAATTCCAGGCGTGTTCGCACACCTCTGCCAACCAGGCACAAAGTACCCGGCTGTTCCACCCCTTCGCGCTCAAATATGCGCCGTGCGCCTTTTTGTACAACATTCCGTAGGTGAATCTCCTTTGCGACGCGCGAATCCGATTCCGTTTCTGCCATGCCTTGAAGTGCAAGTATGCCGAGAAGAGCCGGGCCTGCAGAGAAGTCGGGGGGGAACCAAATGCACCAAGGTTCAGGAGGTAGTCCAAAGCTGCACCATTGCAAGTCCAAAGTAGTCCCAACTGTACATTATGCAAAAGACACCATTCGATACACAAGACGGAGAAACGCCTCAGAAGTATCAGTGGCGATGGCCAGTTTTCATCCACCACACTGCTAATGAAGTCTGTGGTGTTCCTCCACGGCAAGGGCTCCTCAAAGAGTGCATACTGAGCCCGGTCAATACTACAGCAATGACACATTTTTGCAGAGTTCCAGTGCGTTCTCATCGTAAATGATTCCCTATGATACTTCCAGTCGCCACCCAGCTCGGTGACCTGAAAGACATGCCCTGTACGCGGTAGTGGCACGTCAAACGCAACATTCAAAGACCAGACCAGGTTCCGTAGGACGGGGTGCAGTGTTGGGTAGCCCAGGCTATTGTACAAGGAAATCACAGCCACAGGCCACCTAGAGTTGCGCCCTGAGTTAGGTCGCCACAGTGGACAGCTTATAATGAAGCCCAAGAATTTGTCGCCCTGCTGGTTGTAGGTAGCGTCATCCCCAAAAAGCTTGATTGGGATTCGAGGCTGCGCGTCATCTGCCGAATCTTTTGCCCAAGGTAGACCATGCTCCCGAGCATTCTCCCAATATTTCCGTAGCTCAGTCAGTGGGACAGCTACACCAACCTCATCAAATATGAACTTGAGAACTTCGTGCGGCCAATATATCGGTACGTCACGATACTCCCAGTTGTTTCTGTGAGACCCACCATCAGGATCCTTTTTGTACGGCACCTGGATATAATGAAGATCCTGGGATTCAGAAGCGAAATGCTCAGGTTAAAGACGACACGCATGCTAGCACATGGCAAGGTTCAAGAGGCTGTGGGGCCATCCTCGCAAAGTCACGAGCACTGTTCTTCTTCCCCTTGTAGCTTCCCAGCTTCAGTGAAATTGGGGCCATATGGCCGCGAGATTCCTTAGGCTAAATAGCTATATTCACCAGAGAAACTACTTGGCATGAAAGATCTCAAGAATCCCAACGTGTAATAGAGCCGGCGCACTTCCACTGCTGCCTTCGCCGACCGCATCTCCTGAGCAACCGAAGAGGCCTGGCAGCAAACGAATGTGGTTGAAGTCGAGCAATAGATAGCTATTGTGTAATAATATGAAGTCCAGGACCCAGACCCCATTGCCAATCTCCTCCAACATGTTGAGGAAGAAAGGCGCATAAGCATTGTTCCCAGAGCCTGGCAAAACAAGGAATATCACAAGCCCTCCTCATCTCAGGAGTATGCTGCTTTCTGCTGCGTTCTTTTTGGCAGACTCCCTTTGCGCAACTCGGCGATGCAAGCGGCTAACTGATAGGAACGAAGCTTGAAAGGACTTTTGCCCTTCACAGGTGTTACGCAGTGTACGCACGTGCAGCCATAGTCCCTTATGACACACATGCTGGCACTGCAGCACCTAGAGGCAACCCAACAAACTCAAAAACCTTGTTTGCCAAGGCATGCCGCAGCACATGGATATGAGACTAGCGTATAGTTGTTAGCGGCTACAGCATTCCAAGCAGCCCGGAGCTCGTGTAATATGCTAATATGGCATGGCTTTGGCAAAGAAGCCCCAGCTGCTGGATCTACTTTGCTTTCTTCGGGTTCTCATCAGCATCATCGCCCTTCTTGCGCTTAAGGGGCGCCACCAAACGATCCCAGTCGTCCGACATCTTCCCCAAATTCTGAACCAAAGTAGCCTGATCACCAACCTGCCGAGGCAACGGCTTGAGGGGTCATGAACGTCCATGAGTGTTGGGAATCCAGCGGGTTTCGGAATTTCGTGCAATACCCCTACCTATGATCATGAGTCTAGCTATTTTGCAGGAAGAATTATCATAGGAATTCGCGACCAATATAAATCCAGGTCGCACTACCTACATCAAAGTCTACTTTGCGGGGAGAATTTCTCATAGGAATTCGCAACTACTGCTATACAACTCGAGGTTGGGGTTTGAAGCTGGGGTACACTCGCTGGCCTTGTTGGAATCCACGAAGCCCTGAAGCTTGTCCCTGTTCTTCTTGAGATTCTTGAGCTGGGCCACACTATCCTCCAGGATGGCGTCGCGATGCTTCGCAGTCCTGGGCAACATTGGAGATCCCAATCCCTCATATTAGAGGGCGCCAGGTTTCTCTGGGGCTATTTTAGGGGTCAAATAATTAAATTGGTTATCACCGTACCATATATAAATTTAGGGCTTATAATATAAGTTAAGGTTCTGAAGGTCTTGCTCATCTATAGCTAGAAGGATTCAATCATATTTACTCCTAATTGAGACGGTTGTAGGGCCTTGATGGTTTTGGCTGGGGATGTATGGACTTCTCGGGCAAATTTCGGGAGTTGGGGATCAAGCATTCCAAACAAATGAGGATCTTCCCACAATCATTCCTGAACGGCGAATTCTGACTGATATCAGGGCTGTAATAAGTGACCCATGATAAAACCCTAAACCCTATAATAAAATATTATACAATATCCTATGAGCGCAGAACCCCGTGATTTAGAAGTTGTCCTGAGGCACCTTTATAATTAAGCTACCAAGTGCTTCATGGAATCTATAGCAAGCTTCCTTGGGGGGGGATATAAGGCCATATGGACTACACATTTTACCCGTATAGAATTTGATTAGGCTAGTGGTTCCTGGGGTTGCACTTGAGGCAGCTCAAGGGGGTTATCATATAGATCTAGGCCACGCGAAAACACCTGACAGGATATTGCGGTCTGCCATGAAGCGCATATGCTTAGGTCGAACATGCCCCGAGCATGAGTAAGGTTCAGGCAGGTGGGTCAGGTCGAGGTCTTGGTGCTTGGCCGCGTCACGGATGCGGCGGTTTGCTCCGGAGAGAACCTGTCAAAACCCTAACAGGCCCTAACCCTAACCCTAAATCCTGAAACCCTAAACTCGCTGTATCCATCCAAGGCTTCCTGCCTTAGATGCTTCTTTGGCTACCTCATCTGGCGTCTTGAGCTCCTGGCAGTGGATAATGCGACTCGAATCGAACTGACTTGGGTTCTACAAGGGCAACACGTATTACACGCAAGCTAATGTCCTTCTTCTGCCCTTTTCCTTTAGCCTTAGCTTTTGCTTTAGCTTTCGGACTTTTGCCTTTCTTCTTTGTAGGCTTCTTCCCGCCAGTACTGGGGGTTGGGGGTTCCTGCTCCTCTGCAGACTTGAAGAGACGTGTTATCCAGTCTTCCTTGATCTCTTCGGTGCTCTCGGAATCCAGCACATAGTACTGTCGAGCCTCCTGCGCAGGTAATTGGTCGTCTTAAAAACTTATAAGCAGATCTTGCAAATCGTATTTCAGATAAACAGGCCCCGAGTCCTCCACTCCAGGTGCGTCTGGGTGCCAGCGGACCTCCGTCTCAGACAACTCGTGCGTGCCGAGCTTGTGGTCAATAATGGCCTGGGCAACCTGTGTGCCGTATTGCTTTGAAATTTCTTCATGGGTCATCCATCGTTTGACTCCTCGTCGGCGGGTCCCGCTTGTGTTGCTCACATTGAGGTACACTGAGGTGGACGTCCATTTTTCGTCCGCTGCCAGCCACGATTCATAAATGTAAGCCATTTCACGGCGAGTGCCTCAAATGCAACAAAATAAACCCGCTAAGCCCAGGCATTGGAAGGCAAAGCTGATCATGATCTTTCTCACCAAGGCTGGAGCTGGACGCTTGGGCAGCCTTTCCCAGCTGGAGAATTTCGGGAGGGACCTTGTTGACCATGCCTGCCATATAGGGTTGATATTCATGAGGCTTGCGTGCGTGATGCAAGGAGTTAGCTATAGACTTTGAGGCTTCAACATGAAAGCACAGCAACTGCTAAAAGGCCCACGCCTGTAATGCCGCGGTAGAAGCGCATGTAGCGAGCTCGGGATTTCCTTTTCCCCTTCATTTCCTGGACATCCTGCTTGATTTCATCCTCCATTGCCTCATCCAAAACCTGCTTTTCCATTGGCCCTGCAGGGGAACCCGATGGTACCTTTGGGCTGCCTTTCCATAGCTTGCAAGGCGGGGTCTTGCGTGGGGTTGGCATGTCAGTTGTGGTTTTGCGCTGCAGAGCTTTGTACCAACTTGTCTGCTTCCACAGTTCTGGCTTCTTGGTGGAATCCGCGGGCTCATACCTCCAGTCTTTGTTGCAAGAGTCATGGCTCCACGTGTCCCAAGCCTGCTGCTTACCCCAGCTGTCTTTTGAAGCGTCGCCCCACCACGCATTGCTCCAATTGGTTCTGTTGCTACCTTCGAAGCCCCAGCCCCTGTAGCCCCAGCCTTCGGAGTCCCAGTCCTTGGAATCCCAGCCATTGTAGCTGTAGCCCCAGCCTTTGGAGTCCCAGCCCTTGGAATCCCAGTCATCCCACCACCCCGAGGTCTCGTAGTCCCAGGCGTTCAGATCCGTACCCGAACCAAAAGGGTCAAGGTCTTGCGTAGGATACTGGGAGCAGGCGTCACCACTCTCGCTAGCAGCTTCTGAATTTTCTGAGGTTGTCTTGGGATTCGAAGACTCAAGTCCAGACAGGCTTCCATCATTCTCATCGGATTTGGTTCTGGGCTGGGGCTTCTCTTCCAACCGCAAACTCTTCGCTGGCTGCATGGAGGCAGCAGCTCCTGGAACTGCATCTGGCCCGTCCTGCACTGCAGCCTCAAAAGCAGCTTGGAGATTCCGTTTGCATTTTGGCGCCTGGCAGTGGGAAGTTCTAATTCTAGGGGTTCGGGAATTCTTGGCCGCGGGAGGTTGGGCTTAAGGGTTTGAGCTTTAATACTATATAGGTTCGAGTTATAATTGGTATATTCGACTCATATATAATAGCCTTTAGACCATGTCAATCTTTTAGCTAGGTTTGGGGTTCTGGGTTTAGGGTATAGACGAGCTTTAAACTGCACCTGTGGTTTTCGTGGGCCTGCAGCAGAATTGCGCGATATGATTAGCTTCGGGTTGGTATATCAGATTAAGTGTTGTGACCTTATAATATAATTATTACTATAAAATCTATGGAGACACGGCCTGCCTCCGCTTCTGCTCCTTTCTTTAGGGAACCTTTGCTAGCCTGCTTAGCTGGCTCCTTCTCGGGCTCTTGCTGCTTTGCAACCTGATCTTCTTCATCACCTAGCAACTGCTGCAGTGTGGGACACTGCAGGCATAGCGTCTAGTTAATTGAGAGGGCCCAGAAAACATTCCACCCGAAAAATATATTAGTATATTTATTAATATAATATAATATATACATATATATATATACCCTTATATTCCCTCTATATATATATATATGACTTACAGGGAGTGCAGACTTGTATTATTCGGGGGAGGGGATCAGTATATTATATACCCTACATATTTAGACATACATGCGGCAAAGATCAATAATGACGAAGCTAGATCTCACCTTCATCGGGAGCTCCGCTGTCCAAAGTCTCGGTAGACCTTACGGGTAGCATTGATGTAAACCAACGTGATGAAGCACTATAATCCAAAATTGAGCCCCAAACCTTGTCTCTCGCATCAAGTTCCGGGAGTCACGGCCCTGCTTCAAGAGCTGCTCCAGAGCATTTATATCCATGAGCCGCTACAGGTCTGGGATACTTTCCCACGAAACCTCCTTCAAAGCAAAGTGCCTTCAGACGTATATAGCATTCCTAGGACCCCGCACACAGGTTTTCTGATTATTCAAGGATCACACAAAGGCTACGCAAAGGTTACGCAAAGGTTACGCATTTTTCCGTGTAACCATTGACCTGCGTCCTTTTGGTTTCGGACCTGGTTACGCAAA